ACCCTGATGTTGGAAAAGATGGAGGGCACAAGGAGAAGGGGACGACAGAGGACGAGATGGTTGGACAGTGTTCTTGAAGCTACCAGCATGAGTTTGACCAAACTGGGGGAGGCAGTGGAAGACAGAAGTGCCTGGCGTGCTCTGGTCCATGGGGTCACGAAGAGTCGGAAACGACTAAACGACTAAACAACAACAACACCTGGAAACTGGTGGGGGTTATGTTCTGGGCTCCTGTGTCCATAAGCAAAAAATAACAAAAGTGGGAAGCAGCATCTAAAAACTTCTAAATTTTTCCTGATCTCCAATCTTCTCCTGATCTCTCTCCACACAACTCTTCAACTGTAGCTGAAACTTTGGGACAGGCTGGAAGCGATTTCAGCACTCCATTCTGTATGAGCTGCAACTTCCATGCCACCCCACTTAAGTGCATTGAAGTCCTCTAACCGGGAGGTTAGTAGGGCATGGACTATTATGGTCTGCCAGGAATGGTCACAGCTATCAAGCCAGCTGCAAAAGCATTCTGAACCACAGGCACCAAACAAGGCCAGTTAAGCCTGCTCTCTTTGGTCACTTTCCATCTCTTGAGTAATCCTTCCATGCTACTTTTTTAAGAGGAAAAGTTACAGGGACCCAATTAAGCAGCTTCAGTAGTTTTGTATAAGGGAAAGGGCTAAGTTGACTTTCCCCTGACAACCAACCTACTTGTAAAAAAATAAATAATTTGGGGAGAGAACCACACAGCATGTAACACAGAGAGCTTTTGTTTTGTTTGTTCCTCAGCTGTAAAATCTATTGCTATACAGAGGAATACGCAGTAAAGAAAATAAAAATGTGGAATTGCAAACATTCTTAGGTAGGAATGTTCTTCAGTGGCACAGATGGTGCATGTACCTGTGAGCAAAAGAGAAGAGTAAAATTTGCATGGTTAAGCAGAGATGTACTCAAGTTCATTAGGGACTGGAAGGAGGATAAAGGAGTATAAAGGCACATACGTCTCCAGCATATTTTAAAGCAAATTCTGCTTGGACGACATAAACTAGAACATGCCCTATCCTAGAGGTACAAACAGAAAACCAAATAGAGGAAGACAGGATATGCAGATAAGATCATGCAACAATATCAAAAAGCATTAGCTTGAATATGTGCTGGAAGCATCAAGGGTACGAACTTGGCTGTTTCTCTCACCCATAAATATCCAGTGTTCTGGTCTTCCAAGTTGTGTGTCCGAAAGATAACCCAGGGATTTGTGTGCGTGTATATATATGTGTGCATTTTTGGGGGGTGGGGATTGAAAATGATGGGGATTGCTGTTGAAACTGAGTGTGCATGCAGAGAATTTGGGTGGGGTAATGAAGCAGGGACGTGGGTGGCGCTGTGGGTTAAACCACTGAGCCTAGGACTTGCCAATCAGAAGGTCGGTGGTTCGAATCCCCGCAACGGGGTGAGCTCCTGTTGCTTGGTCCCTGCTCCTGCCAAACTAGCAGTTCGAAAGCATGTCAAAGTGCAAGTAGATAAATAGGTACCACTCTGGCGGGAAGGTAAACGGCGTTTCCATGCGCTGCTCTGGTTCGCCAGAAACGTCTTAGTCATGCTAGCCACATGACCCGGAAGCCGTACGCCGGCTCCCTCAGCCAATAAAGCGAGTTGAGCACCGCAACCCCTGAGTCGGCCACGACTGGACCTAATGGTCAGGGGTCCCTTTACCTTTACCTCTAATGAAGCAGTGAAAGGGGTGTGAAAATTGCAGGGAGATGAATGACTTATCAGGGAAACTTACCATAGAAGGGATTGGGTCTAAGGCTGCAGTCCTTGTACTTAGAAGTCTAAATAAAATCGGATAGGATGGGACTGCATTTTTAGAAATCGTGGTTATGAGTTCTGCTTTGGTTTTTCCATCATAAAGGTAAAGGTAAAGGTACCCCTGCCCGTACGGGCCAGTCTTGACAGACTCTAGGGTTGTGCGCCCATCTCACTCTATAGGCCGGGGGCCAGCGCTGTCCGGAGACACTTCCGGGTCACGTGGCCAGCGTGACAAGCTGCATCTGGCGAGCCAGCGCAGCACACGGAACGCCGTTTACCTTCCCGCTGGTAAGCGGTCCCTATTTATCTACTTGCACCCGGGGGTGCTTTCGAACTGCTAGGTTGGCAGGCGCTGGGACCGAGCAACGGGAGCGCACCCCGCCGCGGGGATTCGAACCGCCGACCTTTCGATCGGTAAGTCCTAGGCGCTGAGGCTTTAACCCACAGCGCCACCCGCGACCCGTTTCCATCATATGTATATATTAAAATAAGCTGGGTGTTTTTGAATAAGCTGGGTGCTTTCAGAGGTTTTTAAGTAGAGGTTGGATAGCCATCTGTCATGGATGCTTTAGTTGAGATTCCTGCCTTGTAGGAGGTAAATTTGAAATGCCCTTCTTGGTATCCTCTCATTCCTCACCCTCTTTTTCTTTAATTCTTAGAATTTATTAGGGCTCAGATTTTAGCAATCACCTTTTCTTGGCTGATGTTTCTCAGCTGTAGTTTCCACCTGCAGCTGGTACAGGAGCTGGGTTCTGCTGTTCATGTTGGCTGTCATTTTAAAATACTGTGCTTTTAGAAGCAAAATGAAAAAAAAAAGTTGGAATTGACTTTTTGTCAGGGAACTTTCAAAAATTACAAGACACAGCAAAGAAATTCACTTTATTTTGCCTCTACATGGAAATGGGAATGTATACAGGACAGCACAGGGGCTTAAAGGAGAAGTGGAACAGATTATCATTAATTTTATTTATAAGATTACAGCACAATTGTGTGTGTGTGTGTGTGTGTGTGTGTGTATTCAGAAGCCAACCCCCCCATTGAGTTTAATCGGAGTTATCTCAGCATAAATGTGGATAGGACTGCACTCCTTGTTAGTGTGAGAGAAGCCCCTTGATATATCTATTCACCATTTGATCAAACCACCTCTTTCTCCAGCTGCATCTTAGGGTGAATAACCAGGCCACCTTTATTCTTTGAGGTTTTCCTAGAACAATTATTGCCTTTTACATTTACATACAGCATTTCTAATTATATGCTACTGTTTACTTGTGTTGTTGTTATAGTAGTCGTCCTTTGTTTAGACCTTTCACCTTTAAAAAAGTCCATCGAAGCAACGATGGAGAGCCGCAAGGCTGTAAGCAGGATTTGTGACCTTAGTGCACGCTTGCAAGAAAACAGACGCATTGTGTGCTAAGTAAAAAGGTAGACCCCCGCTTTTCTATGGAGAGAGCTCTGAAGCAACCTAAGAAGACTGCTCCATCTTTGGGTAATTGTGATTTGGCGTGGGGAGAGAGAACAAGGGCCATGCTATATATGCAACAAGAAGCTCGTTTTGAATGTTCCCTTCCCCGGGAGCCTTCAGCTGCCTGTCTTCACCGCAATGAACTGCCTGCCAGGTGCTATCAATAAAGAGGAGAAAGCCGGCTTGCACACCAAATGTTTCTTACGATAACAGGTTGCAGGGAGGCTCTAAGTGAGAGAGCTTGACCTCTGTTGCTCTGTTATTATAATAATAATATTTTAAGGGTGGGGGAGTGTCGCGCTAGGAAAAGCCTTTAGCTTTCTCTGCCTTTGGAGGCTAAGTTCTTCTTTTGATGTGCGTGTTTATCTTTGGAAAGGAACTCTGCACCGAAGAGAATACCTGCCACTGAGGCTGCGATCCTATTAGACACGATAAAAATCCACTGAACGCACTGGAACCTGCTTCTGAACGTCCCTGCATAGGATTGTGCGCTGTTAGCTTTGAAAGGGAAGCAGCGTCAAGTCCTCCTTTCCCAAACCTGTGGCTATTTTAAAATACATGTTTTCTTTAGCAGCTGCACATCGGTCCCTCGGGCGAGGGATGGAGCTCCCCACCCCTCGCTCCGGCCCTTTGCTGGACGTCCACGTCTGAGTCCCCTTTAAATCCCTCGGTGGCGAGATGAAGGGGATCAGAGACGAGAAACGCGACGAGAACATGCCCCAGAATGTTCTCAGAATGCGTTGCTCTTCGGGGGGGAAAAGGGTTTTCTGGCTCTTGGCTTCAGACATCTATCTCACGAAGCCACCTGCCAAGCGTCACCCTCGGCTCTGGCCTTTCCTAGAACGGAAGGGACCCCAAGGGTCATCTAGTCCAACCCCCCTGAAATGCAGGAATCTTTTTGCCCAACATGGGGCTCGAACTGGGTGAAGACTCCAGAGCAGCGCCATTGAGGCTCCTAGCAGATGCGCGCTTGTGTGTGTTCAAAACTGGGTGTTTGATCCAGGTGCAATAAAGCTCAGTGTTTTATGGACGGTTCCCACCCCCCTTTTTGGTTCCATTGTCTTAAATTATGCCACTAAAGAATGAATGAACGAAGCCTCGTTTCGCTCCTGGCACCCTGTGCATGCTCAGGAAACCGCCCTGATGGCGCAAAATCAACTCAGCACATGCTCAGAGGCTCTCTCTCTGAGCTCAGTCATTTGCTGGTGGTGGTGGTCGGGGGAAGAAGCAGCGGGACCAGGCACTTTCGCGCGTGAGAACCAGATGCACTCTGCACATGCACGGAAGTTCCCAGCTGCAGCGCCGAGCTGCAACCTGATGTTTGCAAAATAAAAACAAAACACACCGGGCGCTCGGGCTGAAAACCTGCCAGCGGGCGGCAGATTCTCCAACTTGAGCTTGTTTCCTCTCTCTCTCTCGTGCGCACCCCGACCATCGCCAAGCCCGCCTCCCTCCTTCCCTGAACCGGGCCCCCCTCCCCAGTCCAAGCGCGCATCCCTAGCCCTTGGCGCATTTGGGGCCAGCCGGCTCCTTTTTACGCATCGCGCTCGCCCGGAAAGGAGGCGGCGACGGCGGGACCCGAGCACGGGGCGCTTCTCCGCGTCGCTTTGGCAGCACCGGGCTGTTGGTCACACGCAGCCTGTGTGTCCCCAGCAGCGGCGGCGGCGGCGGGCGGGCGGCGGAGGGAGCGCGCCCACGTGATTCCGGCGGTGGCTCCTGACGGCGCCTCTCCAAAGAGCCGCACACCAGAAGGAGAGCGTCCAGAGAGAGCCCCGCCGCTGCCGCTGCGCTCGCTCGCCAGCCTCTCCCTGCGCCTCCAGGACGCCGAAGAGTTTCGCCCCGGCTCTGCTGCCCAAGTGCCGCGCGCGCCGCTCGAGCGTCTCCATCTCTCTCCGTCTCTCTCTCTCTCACCGTGGGCAGCGAGAGGGAGGCATGGCTGGCTGCGGGCTCTCCGAAGATGCCGCCTTCTCCCTCTCCACCTCCTCCTCCACCGCCGCCGCCACCTCCTCCTGCTCCTCCTTCTGCAACCTCGCCGCCTCTTGGGAAGCCCCCTTCAGCCACCAGGTAAAAGAAAGGGGAGGGAAGGAGTAGTTTGGGGGGGGGGAGAGGGAAGCGCTCTCCTCCTGGGGTCGGAGGGCGGCGTGGGAAGGGGTGGGGGAAATAATGCCCGTGTTGCGCCTCGACTCGACGCCTGTTGGTCTCGCTCTCGGCCAAGCTTGGCTCGGCTTCTTTTCCTTTGGGTGGGCAGTTTCCAAAGGGGGACACGGGAGATATTTGGGGGGGGCGGTGGTTTCACGCCCCCTTTTCTCCTCCGAGGTGCGCGAGAGAGGGAGAGCGCGCGCCCTTTCCCGGGGTAAATGTGCGTTCGCCAGAAACAACTCCAGAGCAGACCAGGGGAACTCGAGCAGAACCTTCCCCAAATCTCTCTCTCTCTCTCTCTCTCTCTGGCCCGAGTCCTTCCCCTTCAGAGTGGCCAGGTGAATTTGCTGCTTGGGAGGTCCTCGACACTTTCTGCCCTTTCCTCCAAGGAAAAAAACCCCAAACAAACGTGCCCCCTTCCTCAGTTTCCTCCATCAATTTCGGCTTCCAGTGCTTTCTCTCCTGCAACTTCCCTAGGATGGCTGAAGATGCCCACCTCGTCCACATAGGAAGGCTGGGCCGCACTCTGATATCATAAGCATCCCCATCCCCGTCTCTCTCTTTCCCCATCTCCCTTCCCCAACCCTCACACTTAACTTTGATGACTGTGCAATGCAGAGCTTGCAGCCAAACAAAGCCCTTTCCAGTTTCTTCTCATCCCTGCTCTGGTTCCTGAAGCCCACAGAGAGCCCTTTAAAAACAACAACACAGCATTGGAGAGGAGGGAATAGCAATAATAGTATCATTTCTGTGGGAAATCTTGGATATTGGTAAAAGAGCTCCTCCAACGTCTCTGGAATTAGCTGATGTGGTGGGCTTTTGCTGCCCCTACTGCTTGTTCGGTGAAAGTCTTTGGCCCACTGAGTCATGTCAGAAACTATCTTGCAAGTGAGCTCTGGGTTTTTTTGGGTTGTGGAGGTTTGTCTGATGGGAGAAAAGTTGACTTGGTAGAGGGAGAGGCTTCTGGAGAAAGTGAGATGCCCCAGCAGGCAGAGACCACAAAGCAATATCGGAGAGGGAACGGCAGACAGACAATCCTTCCGCCCCTTTTCCTTCCCTAGCCTGGTGGAAAGGATGGAGCAGGGTGGAATCTCTTTGGCACTGTGCCTGCCTGTCAGGTGGTGGTGGTGATGGTGACCGGCTAGGCTTGTGCGCTCCCTTTCCTTCTCTACTGGGGGCAGAAGTGTTGCTTAGCTCATGGAAAAACGTGCAGCTCGCAGCCCTGGTTTCCAGGAAACTAAAATCCCCAAACTAGCAGTTGCCAGTTTAAGGTTACATTTCGCAGCGCAGGATCAAGAGACTGCACATTTCTCTCTCTCTCTCTGCCTCCAGGAGTTGTTAATACGGAAGGCTCCTTCTTCAGCAGCCAGTCTGAGAGCTTTAGATGTTAAGAGAAAGAGAGAGGGAGAGAGAGAAGGAAAAGGGAGCTCAGGGGCACAGAGTATTATTATTGATGGGGGCTTTTGGAGCCCTGACAACTGTGTTGTGTTTCCCAGTAAGCAGCGGAATAAGTATCGAACTCTTTAGTGTGTCTCTGGGTGGGAGGAAATATTTATCAGCACCCAATGAGGAAGGCACCTGGTGTCAGGTCAGCGTGATGGATGACTGTACAAGTCCACACTGGGGGAAAAGGAAGGGTTGCTAGATAGGGATGGGAATCGCTACTGCTGATGTGTTTTACATTTTGTTTCTACTGGCCTGGCATTCAGAGCAAACGTTTTAAAAATGAACAGAAACCTAGCTGATTTCACAAAGTTGGCTTTTGCAAAGATGGATGCATCATGCAAGTGAGCAGAAGCATATAGCCCCTGCCTGTGAAAGGGGGGGGGGAGGAATCCATTCTGTGGGTCACGCTGCCATCTTTTTGCTTTCTCATGTTTGCCCCCGTTGAAAAGGCTAAAATTGGCATTATTTAGCTGCCAAATACAAATGCTTACCATATCATGGGCACTATTCTTTATATCTGTAATACAGTATGGTTTGCTGAGCACGTCTCAACATGTCTGTGCAGCAACAGTGTAGTTTATGAAAGACTTACTTGTGGTTTGTACAAACACAGAAATTCATTAGGCTTGGAAAGGTGTTGGTAAAAATGGTTTCCCTAAATAGTTCCAAACTTACAGAAGTGGATAAATCTGAAATGTTATGTCCTCTCTAATGTGTATCTTTTTAAAGGATTTTCAGCTGTAAAGTAGAAAAATTGCTGGTAAATCTATAGCTGCTCACTTCATAGAACATCTGACTAATGCTGCATTTTATTTCGGGCAAGAATCAGAGAGATAATTTGGGAAGATGATCTATTTTAGTAGGTCTGTAAACTCTTGAAATGTAGTATACAAACTACAGTTAAATATGTATAATGCAGGAAGTTGTCCCCTGTTCTTCACAATCATATTATCTCATATGGTCAGTCGCTTGTATTTCATCCAGTAGAGAATAGCAATGTGATGCTCACTAGCAATTTGCAATCAGAAACTAATTGTGAAAAGGTGCAAAATGACTTTTTATAAGTGATGGTTTTTTCTTGCTGAAATATAGCACTAAATGTCAGACATGGTTTAGAATTAAATGTCAGGCATCACTTTTTGCTTAAAGTGATGCTAAGAGTATACAAGCTATTATCTCTCCTCTCTAAATATAACAGCAGCAGTTACCCAGGGAAAAAAATATATCTTGTGTAGTAGTACAATTTTGTGTAGGGGAGGAAATCCTCAAATTTCAATATACCACAAAAAGGGCAGGCAAGCTATAGTGGGGGGAAACAGCTTTTTATTCCTAGATCAATATGATGCACTCTGTGAACATCTAATACCATATAAAAGCATCCTTTGTAAATATCAATATAAGTTCAACAAGGACTTGCTAAATCTGTTCCTGGCATAGCAGGATATATATTGTAATAAAACTGTGCATAAACAAAGCAACACTTGCATTGCATAAACTCCCAAGTAGAAAGAATGAAGAGAAATACTGTGCAGCTTTGAAGCCCTGCAACACAGAGTAAATTGTTCTGATTTCTAACTTCTGATATCACACTGTATGTTTTATTTATTTATTGTGATTATTATTTTGCATTTCCATGACATGAAACCTTCCTGGTATCTTTCAGCATCCAGATGTAGAGCATGATTTTTTGAGAGTCTTTTTGGAGGAAACTACTCTTTGTAGTCTGCATAGAAGTGTCACACAAGAGCTGTAGCTGGGAAATTGCATTTGATAATACAAGTGTCAAGCTAGCTGTTCCAAATTAAAACCCTGGGCACCCAGCACTAAGAAAACTAACTGTTGAACCTAGTCAGGATCAAAAGTGCTTCTCTGGGTATGCACAAGAACTTGCAGTTACCCAGTGAGGATATTTTAGGGTCCCCAACCCCTGTCTTTCAAGGGACGCGGGTGGTGCTGTGGTCTAAACCACAGAGCCTAGGACTTGACGATCAGAAGGTTGGCGGTTCAAATCCCCGCGATGGGGTGAGCTCCCGTTGTCTGGTCCCTGCTCCTGCCAACCTAGCAGTTCGAAAGCACAAAGTGCAAGTAGATAAATAGATACCGCTCCGGCGGGAAGGTAAATGGCGTTTCGTGTGCTGCTCTGGTTCGCCAGAAGCGGCTTCGTCATGCTGGCCACATGACCCGGAAGCTGTACGCCGGCTCCCTCGGCCAATAAAGCGAGATGAGCGCCACAACCCCAGAGTCAGCCACAACTGGACCCTAATGGTCAGGGGTCCCTTTACCTTTACCCCTGCCTTTCAGGATGACTGTGAGGGGATTATAAGTGTACTTGTTGGACATGAGCTTAAGCTCAGAATAATTTTCTTTCTTCTTCTTCTTCTTCTTCTTCTTCTTCTTCTTCTTCTTCTTCTTCTTCTTCTTCTGTGTCAATCCATTGTAGAACAGGCGAGACAAAGCAAAATGTTCAGGGCACCAGTCTAACCAATCACTTTGTGAGAAATCAGCCGACTCCTCCCTTTCAGTGATGTCACAGCTGTTTACAGAAGCTGTGCTATAGAGGGAAAAATAGAATCGCACTGGCACCTATCGTTGGGAGAAGGGACTTTCTGGTTCATTTTGAAGCTTTTTTTGGGGTATTTTTGGAAAGCAGTTGCTCAGGTAATTCTTTCTGAGAAATCCAGGATTTTAGTGCAGCTATCATTTGGCAGTTTCATACCCACCCCAAAGCCAAAGGCAGCTCTTTCTAATCTACGTTTAATTTTATGCAGAAATGTTAGTTTTTTGAGAGTTTGTAAACTCCCTTCTACTTTTTCATTTGCAAAGGCAAATAAGTTCCTTGATAGTATATGCATACTGCAGTGGGAAGAATGTTGTGATTTAAACAGTTCTGTGAAGTGACTCATTTTGCTGGGGAGTCAAAAGAGTCGTTTACAACAGCCCTGCAGTGTAGTACAGTGCTGTGATCTATTCTATTGCTGGTATTCCCCCCCCTTTAAGGCAAATGTAATGGGGACTGTTGATTGTATCAGCAAAAGCAGGGATGGGATGATTAATTGCATTCCCACCCATGGGCTGTGGGTCTTAATGTACAGGATGTTACTTCTGGAATAAATGTGCAGATTACCATCAGATATCGAATATGTTTAAAAAAGAGTTGAAGGAAAATGGATATAATGAAAGAGAGTCGAAGTTTCAAACAGAGGTGGTTAACAACGATTGCAAAAATCATATCCAAAATGTACAAAATGTTATTAGAATGGCACACGATGGATGAGGAAGTGAAGGAGGTAATGATCCATTGGGCCAGAGACTTAGGGTACAACATAGAGTGGAAGAGTGGTATAAGATATGGAATGAAAATCTGAAATATACAGCATCTATTACATTGAAAGAAAATACCATGAAAATGGTATATAGATGGTATCTAACGCCGGTCAAACTGGCAAAGATGTATAAGATCTGTAATAAGTGCTGGAGAT